AATCCGAAATCAAGGTGTTAGGAAGGGGCGAATCGAAGTATCTACAGAAGAATGACGATCCCAATATTATTTCATTTCATTCACACCATTAAAAGCACTTTACCATCCCATCCATCGTTGTCGATTTCTAGTGTCCACAGTCCAGCAGCCACCTCACCCCAGTTGTGGGTTGTCATGAAGGCCCATTCCCTAAAACCGGTCCTCGAGGTGTCGCGAGCTCGTTTCGCCAACAGTGTCGATCGTGTACCTAAAAAGTGCCGGAACCATGAAAGATCTTAAAACTTTGACTGCAACTTTTTAGTCATTTTGAGACAAAGATGAATTATGTATAGAGCTTATAAATGCTAATCGCGTTAATACAAACATCTATCTAGATGTAGTGTTTTTTCGGTTTCTCGTTCATAATTTGTTTGTAAAATAACAAGCCTGAGGGTGAAGTCAAATAAATCTGTATATCTCCTCGCTTCGGTGCCGTTAACGTTATTAGTGCTTGCACATGCTCCAAATAGACCACTTTGTTGCGCGGATCGTTCGCGCATCCATCAGTGTACAGCTGCAGTTGCAATCGATTCCCATGAGGAATTGTTCTGTAAAATTGCTGAGCGGACAGTGGTGCTGCAAGTTAAACCCAGGCTGGAACGCACCGGAAGGGCTCGTGCGATCATGCGTTTTTGCACCGGACTTGGAGTACTCAGGTCATTAACTGCATGAATGGTTGTTGCTTTACACCTACTTTTTGCGCTTACTAGCGTAAATCACCATAAATTTTGCATAAAGTAAATGTACAATTTCCATTTAACGGCCGTTCTTTGAAAATAACCTAAATGTTCAGTGAGGAATTTTTCCGCCAAACTTTTAAGTGTCCGTATATAAGAAGCACGCATACCTGAAGGCTGAATTTGAAACACTTAAGTTGTACTTGGATAGGTAACATTCCCCTAAAGTTTTAGCTTTCTAGTTTTTCTGGTCCCCGAGTTAGCAATTTTCCCGCCAAAACTTTCACACGCCCTTATGTGACTAACACTCGTACTTGGTGGCTGAATTTAAAATACTTAAGTTGTATACGGGCTGGGGACATCTCCTCAAAATTTCAGCCTCTCAGCTTTCCTGGCTCGCGAGTTAGCGATTTCTCCGTCAAATCTTTCATGTGCTCGTGCTTGAGAACCATGCAAAACTTTCATGCGTCCTTACATGAGTGCCAAGCAAGCCTGGAGCTGGATTTTAAACCTTTAGCTAACACGCGCACTGGAAACATCTCTATAAAGTTTCAGCCCCTTACCTTGTCTGATTCCGAAGATCGCTTTCCCGCCAAAAAATCTGCATATTTTTTCGAAGCGTCGGTACGCGACACCCAGGCATCCGGGGGGATGATATCAAAACGGGAGAGTCGCGCATAGTATGGGCACATATTT